CAGGCACCTGGTGCAGGGGTCCATGTTTCACCGCAGCCTCGCACCTCAGGCCACAGGGAGACAGATGCCAAAGTGTTCTTTGAAACCAGAGGCTGTTCATGACTCCTTCTCTAATCAGCCCCTGTGAAATGGGGGGGAGTGGGGAGGGGGGCGGTTAAGATCCAGTTATTACTGCTGCCTAAACCATAAAAATACCACCACTCCCCTGGCATAACAGCTACCCCCCCCTCAGCCTTTCCTGACCACACTGGCAGGGACGAGCTTTCAGACTTCTGAAACCCAGAAAAATTTAATGTCACAAGCAGTTTCTAGCCCCTGGAATGGAGATTTGGGCGGGCCTCCTCTGAGACTGTCCTCTGCTCTGTGAAGCCCTCAGGCCCAGTACAAACAGAAAGGCAGGGTCCATCCCCTCACTCTTGGGAGGCAAACACAATCTCAAAGAGGGAAGTGAAGGGTCCTCTTTCAGAACAGAAAAACAGAGTATCTTTCAAGATAAACAAAAACCAAAACACTGGTATATATGTATATGTAACACTTAAAAAGGTTGGGACTGTTGTATCTTTTATCAGAGCTGTATCTCCCAGTCTCCCAGATGTGGGGGCTTTTTTGGAGAGAAATGTTACTTATTTATTTTTTAAAAGATTTTATTTATTTATTTATTCATGACAGACACGGAGAGAGAGGCAGAGACACAGACAGAGGGAGAAGCAGGCTCCACGCAGGGAGCCTAACATGGGACTCGATCCCAGGTCTCGGATCACGCCCTGAGCTGTAGGCGGCACTAAACCACTGGGCCACCACGGCTGCCCCAGAAATGTTACTTTAACAGTGTCCCTGGAACTGCTGTTAGTTTTCTTGGAGCTCTGAACCACAGTTGCAAGCAACATGGCACCATGATGAAGAAGGGACTGGTGGTGGGTGAGGGGGGTGGGCTGAATTTCTGGACTTGACTAGCCCCCTCAGTTCTCGTGGACCCCACCATGGAACTGTGTGGGACATCTTATGGGGCATGCTGCAGAGGGCAAAGCTGGCTGCTACCTGTAGAGTGGGGAGGTGGGCTTTACCCTGCCAAATAAGGAAAAAAAGAGTCCTCCCTGGGAGTTTGTCTCAGAAACACAGCAAAGCCTGGGCATTTCCAGTGGGGGGAGAGGGGATCATGGGAAAATGAGAGGAATTAGGCCAGCCCGCAGCCCAGCCACATGGGCCCCTGAGGGGTTTAATGTCTGTGGATTCCACCAAAAGCCACATCCAACACTAGTCAGAGGGGCTACTTGCTTCTCTTCCATGACACTGATCCTTTGGAAAGGTCTCCTTCACTTTTGTGCTGTGAGGGATCCAGGGGGAGAACCTAAGCTGTCCTTTGGCCAGAGGGCTGAAGGGGAGAACAGGGTCAGGGGGAGCCAATGGCTAAAGACAGCTGTGCCCAGCAGACAAGTGTCCCCTAGAGGGCAGCATTTTGGTGGCCTGACAAAGAGGTTGGTGGATGGGGGCTTTGGTCATCCCCCTGAATCCTGGGCAGGGAGACCTCTTAGAAATAGCCAAGGAGCTCACTGAGAGAAAATTTTCCAAAGATCGAGCTTCCAAAGATCTGAATACTGTTTGTGTGGAAAACGTTTTCTAAAGGGAAAAATATGAACCTTGTCTCTACATTTTCTCTCCCCTTTCTTGAAAGAACCAATTCAGTGAAGCCACAGCCTTCCTCTTGGCTGGAGCAAATATTGTGTTCAAAGCCTAGCTGGGGTGCCAGAAAGATGCAACAGTCCCAACTTTTTTTAAGTGTTACGTATATATACCAGTGTTTTGGGTTTTGTTTATACTGGCTTGCCCACCAGATTTCCCCCTCAAGCCTCTATGTCCTCTGACAGTTCTGAGAAGCCCAGGCTTGACTCTATCAGGTGAGCTGCCTGGAGCTGCTCCGGAGCATTGCTGGTGTTCACCAAAGTCCCCAGTTCTCCTCTCTTTCTGGGCACACAGGAGGATCACACTTCCCTGCCTTGGTGAAGTTAAGTATGGCCGTGTGACATTTTTGACCAAAGGAGGGTGAGAAGTAACACAAGTTGCATCTGGGTGGAAGCATCTGAGAGCGATGCCTGGTTCTCCCAAGCTTTCCTTCTCTGTTGCAGCAACCCCTAGAACTCATGTTTGGATAACAATGTCTGAAAACAGCAGATCCTTCATCAGCTTGGGTGCCTAAGTGGCTACAAGGGGCAGAGCACGTAAGCTCATGTGCATAAGCGAGAAATGACCCTCGGGAAACCACTGAAGTTTGGGGATTGTTGGTTACCACGGCATAAAATGGTCCATCCAACAGGTACACTTACTTTGCCTTAGCAGAATCCATGGCACCTAAGGATTTCTCAAGGTACTATTAGCCAATAATGGGGTGGGAAACGTAATGAACTCAAAACTGGGAACTCCACTCCCTGTTCTTGCATGAAAGCTCATAATGGCCACAATTCACTGGGAACCCGTTCCAGGCAACTCTGGATCTGTTTGGCAGTAAGTAACTCCCACGTTCCCATAATTCTACTGGGCTGGATAGTTCTATAAAAAATCTGTCTCCCCGGAGGCTATTTCAGTGTTGATACTTGTTCAAAAACATTCAGTCAGACAAATGTTCATTAAAAAGTTGGCCATCTAACCACCAGGCAGAATTGGAGCAGCGCTCTGAGACTGACTCTGAGGAACCGGCTCCAAATGAAAGGAAGGACATTCCTCCCAAGGCGGCATCTTGTTCCTCAGTAACACGGGCTGCATGTCTGCTGTGGCCTTCCATGGTTACCCGAACGCAGAGATCTGGTCTCCAGGATTCTCGTGATCCTTACTCAGTTACCATAGCCACAACACATGGTTTGAACAAACAACATTTCTGACCTCATCTGGTTCTCACATTTGAAAAGTAAGACATTTGCAGAGCGAATTCATTTTAAAACCTTAAAGTCAATCGGTGGATTTGCAATTTTGAGTATTGCGATCAAAGGAACACAAGGAACCTTTTCCCCCACTCAGAGGAAAAAGAATGCCTAAAAAATCACTCCTACAACTGTTGAAATTTCAATACAGAGTATATTTTAAATAATAGTATCCTACCAATGATAGCGTTCCTGATAGGAAATACATGCTGTGGTTTTTAGGGGTGAAGGGCTGTGATGTTTACAACTAACTCAAACTACATATGGCAAATACAGTAAAATGATAACAACTGGGAAACTGAGGTGAATGGCCAAAGTGTTCACTCTCCTATCCTTGCAACTTTCCTAGAGGTTTGAGACTTTTCAAAATAAGTTTCCAAAAAATCATGCATGTTCCAGATTAGTGACTTTCAAACTTTCTTAACAATAGCCCACAATAAAATATAAATTGTAATCAGTGATCCAGATGCAGAACACACACATACACATATCATCTGAGCAAATGCATACAAATTAAAGTTTCATATAACAATACCTGTTACACATAAGACTCTGTGACTTTCCTGTTCTATCTTGTTTTTATTTTTCTAAAGATTTAATTTTTTATTCATGAGAGACACAGAGAGAGAGGCAGAGACATAGGCAGAGGAAGAAGCAGTAATGCGGGCTTGATCCCAGGACCCCGGGATCATGACCTGAGCTGAAGGCAGACACTCAACCACTGAGCCACCGAGGTGCCCCTACCTTGTTTTTTTAAATGCTGGTTGTGACTCATTGAGTTGATTGACCACAAATAGTCACAATCTATTTGAACACTCCTACCCTCAGAAGCAACATCTCGGATACTTAGTATTACCTAGAGACACAGAAGAAGTACTATCACCATGAAGACCTGACAACTTGGTGCACCCCGAATTATGTGGGCTTTGAAAACCCAGATCTTCAAATACAAAGGAATTTGGGACATTAAAAGTAGGGATTTTGAGCATGTTGACAGATGCAGTCATCGTTACTTGTGTGTGGAGAACTGCCTGAACAAGTATTTAGTAGACATACGGAATTTGTCACTCAGGCCTGGGGGCTTCCAGTTGGCCAACTCCCACCCTGGGAAATCTCTTCGGCCTCCTTCCCAGCTACTGGTTGCCTCCTTGCCTCCTGGACATTAGCCCCAAGGTGTGCGGCCCAGAATAATTTCCACACCTAACAGGATCATCCAGGCTGGAGACTCCCTGCCGTGCTAACAGCATTTCTGTCTTCCGAACACTTCCCACAAAACCTAAGAAAAAAGGATTTTGTGGCCTCCATGGAGATTCACAATCCATGTTTGCATATGAAAGACTCTAAAAAAAAATTCCTGCAGTACAGAAACTTAACTCTTTTTAAAAATCTTGGGATTTTACACACTTTTTTGTACATAGAAACCCCCTCCCCCTTCTTCCCCCCCTTCCCTGCCCTAAAGCTGCTTTGTGGCTAAAGCCTCCCCTTGGAATAACTGTAGAGTAAGGGAAAGAGACTTCTATTTTCAATGTCTCCTAACACATTCCATACCCCTGGAACCACCACCAACCCCTTGGGTCTAAGTTCCTCTCACATCGCCCTTCTCTCTCCTTCTGTCCATCTTCCTGGACTCTAGTGTCCCCTTCCCCTGTGGGAGGAGGAGGGTAACTACAGTGGAAAACAAAGGGACCGGGCTTAATGGGCTGTCCCACCAGGAAAACTGGCACAGTCTAATTCAGGCACTGCAGTCCCTGTTTCCTGGAAGATGGGGGCAAGGGATGGGGGGAGAGCCCTGTAGCCCTAGGAGGTTCCAATTCCTAATTTTCTCACGGGAGGGCCCACATTCACTCTTGCTTGTCTTCTCCAATTGATGCTCATGTGACATGAGCGGACATCCATTCCTCTCCCCACCTCCACCCCATCCCCAGCGTGGCATTTCCGTGGGTTCTCCTCTTCCTAGAGCCATATCTGAAAGTAAACTGTTCCTTCCATCACCACCTGCCCCCCGTCCTGTTCCCCTCTCCCCCCACCACAAATACCCTCAAGCCCAGTTAGCTAAACCTTCCCCCACTGGCCAAGGCCATCTGGGCTACCCCAGTGAGGCAAGGTTAGTCCATGCTTAGGACGAACACCACGCTGAGCAGGAAGCCAGAGCCGAGGAGAAACCAGGTGTCGTGGCCAGAGACAACCACCCCCCTGGAGGGAAGGCTGTCGGACAGGGAGGTGTTGAGCGGCCCCTCGGTGGTGTTGGCCACCTCCTCCACCGGGACCCTCGGGGCCAGCAGCTTGGAGAGGAGGCTGCTGAACCTACTCACGGTGGTGGCCGCTGGCTCTGGGGACGGGCCTGGGCTGGATGCGGTGAAGTTCAGCTCCTCCGGGTCCACACAGAGGCCATCGGAAGAGCGCCCGAAGGCCACCTGGCTGAGGTCCAGGCCGGCCACGGAGCCCGGGGCGGCGCACGGCACGTCGGCCACACGCCCGGAGCTCTCCATCCACTCGCGCAGCCACTCCAGGCGGCAGTCACAGCGCCACGGGTTGCGGAAGAGAAAGAGGCGGCCCAGGAAGAAGCCAGGCTGGAAGGCGGCCCAGGCCAGCACAGTGAGTTGGTTGCCATTGAGGTGCAGGGCAAGGAGGCCCGAGAGGTTCTGGAAGGCGCCCTCCTCCACGAAGGCGATGCTGTTGCGGTCCAGGTAAAGCAGCTCAAGCTCCGCCATGTCGGCGAACCAGGCTCGCGCCACGAGCCCCAGCGCGTTGCCGCCCAAGTTGAGCGTGCGCAGGCGGCGCAGGCCTAGAAAGGCTTCGGCGGGCAGCTCAGCCAGCAGGTTGTCGTTAAGCAGCAGGTGCTCCAGGGCGCCGCAGTCGCGGAAGGCGCCTGCGTGCACGGCGCGGACGCGGTTGGCCTGCAGGCTGAGAGAGCGCAGGCGCCTCATGCCCAGCAGCGAGCTGGAAGCCACCGCCTCGATGCGGCTGTGCTCCAGGTGCGCGTGCGTCAGGTTGGCCAGCCCGCGCAGCGCGCCGGGCACGCGGCGGAAAAGGTTGTCGAAGGCGGCGAGCTCGCGCAGGGCCGGCAGCTCGGCCAGGAGGCGCTCGGGCACGGTGAAGAGGCGGCAGGAGGCCAGGTCGAGGCGGCGCAGGCGGCCGAGTGCGGCGAAGGTGCGAGCGTGCAGGTAGCGCAGCTCACCGTTGTGCGCCAGGCGCAGCTCGGCCAGACGTGGCAGGCCCTTGAAGGCGCCGGGCGTGATGAAGGACAGGTTGTTGTGGCGCAGCGACAGGCGGCGTAGCGACGGCAGCGTGCCAAAGGCCCGCTCGCCCAGGAAGCGCAGGCCGTTCCGGTCCAGGTCGATGGAGGCCGCCTCGCACGGAAACTCAGCCGGCACCCGCAGGAGGCCGGCGCGGTCACAGCGCACAGAGCAGCCGCGCTCCGTGCTGCTGCAGGCGCAGGCGGTGGGGCAGGTGCGCGTGCAGGCCTCCTCGGCCCAGGCACCGAAGACCACCGCTGGGAGGTGGGGAAGGGCGAGGGAAGAAATAGAAGGAACAACCGTCAGCCTGAGCATCGCCCCAGTAAAGTCCTACCTGCCCATGAGGCAGGATTCGGCCCTCCACCGAGTTCCCATACCTCCTGCATAAGCGCGCCCCCCGAGTGGCCTCCTTCCAGCTCCCAGACCTTAAGGCACACGGAGGTTCTCACCCACACAGCCCTCCCCTTTGCTTTCCAGTTACCTTCATCGGCAAACCCCGGCTGGGATTCCGGCATGTGAGCCAATTCTAAACACTCTCTTGCTTATGATGTCACTTGGTGCTCTCCTAGAATTTGGCCTAGAGGGTTCATTGCATGCATAGGGGGACCTGGAGGGCATCACCGTGGCCTGTGCTTTAGTCCTGTACTGCCCAATACCGTACTCACTAGCCACATGTGGCCACTGGGCATTTGGAATGTGGCTAGCCAGAATTGAGATGTGCTGGGAATGTAAAATACCAAAGACTTAGCCAAAAAAAAAAAAAAAAAGGATAGATTATCAATAGTTCTTATATCGATTGCATGTTGAAATGGTATTTTAGATATCTTGGATTAACTACAATATTAAAATTAATGTCAGCTGTTTCTTTTTACATTTTTAATGGGACTACTTAGAAAATTTAAACATGTGGCATGCGTTATATTTTTATTGATTCTGCTCTAGTCCCTCCCACCATAAGAATTCAATTCCTGAAACACACACACACACACACACACACACGCGCACGCATTGAGGAAATTAAGCCTCATCAAAAAGAATTAGGAAACAGGAGGTTGGGAAAGAAAGAAAAGCATGTCAATCTTTTTTTTTTTTTTAACAATCACTAAATTTAAGCCATAAGGAGCATTGTAAATAAACTAACAATGACCTTCTTACACATTTCAAAAAAATAATTGTGGACACTGTGGAGTTAATTATCATCCACCAGCCCTTGCTCTCACGGGAAAGAATGGTGCTTATAAATTAATTTTGTTCTGAGTATTTGAATGGAGAATCAGATAAAGACTTCAAAAGCCCTCCAGTAGGCTTGCCACATGCAGCAAAACAGAATGGTAGCCAGAGGTCACAAGCCCCATCTTGAGTTCCAATGGAAAAGGCAGCATGGAAGATGCACAAGTTTTTTTTCTGGCCAGGAGCAGCTCGCAGGTGGAGTGTGCTCAATCTGAAATTCCTGCAGAGGAACAAAGGTACCCACATGTAAACCTGATCACTGATACTCATAATTTCTAGCCCTCCTCAGCAGTACTCCCAAATCCTAGCAAACATCCCTGACCTAACATTCAGTCAGTCCCACTGTGTACATATTACCCTGCCTTGCCAGTGGAAGCCCTTGTCCGAACCTGAAGGCGTGGCCACACAAGGAGTGTGCAGAATATGCTTGCTGCTGCCTCTGCGGCTTTGTTCTGCTTCCAGTGTCTTGTGTACAGTTGTTGTGGACATTCCATGTTTTTTCAGCTGCTAGGAAGGGGTTCAGCTCTTTCAGACTTGGCAGAGAACACTCAGCCCTTTGAGCAACCCTTCTGTTGTGAACTGTAGCTAGTTCAACATTCTGATGTTACAGAGGCTTGACTTGGCTCTTCCCTCTCCCTAAGAACCGTAAACTAGATGCGTAAACTAGATGTGTAGCTTCCAGAAAGGTTCTTGCACCCTGTGCTGAGCTTAACTGTAAACAGGGCAGCGGTTGGGCTAGAGAGACACCCTTTTAGAGAGACAGAGCCAAAGATATAACCTTAACTCCAGGCATCAGCTGGACAAGGGTGGGACCTTTTTCTATCAACTCTTCCAACTAGGTCAAGTAGAAGGCATCAGATTTCCTTACAAATAGTCTTTCATTCTACTCTCTTCTTTCTAATTAAGAGAAGTGCACTCTCAACCACATGACTCATGTTTCTACTTCACAATAGCTCACATTGTTCTGGGCACACAAAATGTTTGCAAAATTAAATGGAATCGATGCTTTCCTCTGTAATGATTCCTCTGGAGGATGTCATTTATTAAAACAAACACAAAAAACATTTTTAAAAAACCTCTTTATCAAGGAATTCCAAGGTTTATGACAGCTGCCAATTTTTCTAAATTCATGCAACAGGGGTGGGAATGAAGCTTTTAATTTTGTATCCTTTTTGTCTTTTAAACGTTGAACCATGTGAATGTATTCCTTATTTCAGAAAATAGATTAAGATTTATTTTAAATGTTAAACACTCAAGATGTTGCCACTATTAGAGACCTATTTTCTTTTTTTTAAGATTTTATTTATTTATTCATGAGAGACACACAGAGAGAGGCAGAGACACAGGCAGAGGGAGAAGCAGGCTCCTCGCAGGGAGCCTGATGTGGGACTCAATCCCAGGACTCTGGGACCACAACCTGAGCCAAAGGCAGATGCTCAACCACTGAGCCACCCAGGTGCCCCTAGAGACCTATTTTCAACCTCTGAAACTTTAATAGCCATTAGGAATTACTACTTAACTGGATTGCTTAATTAAATTTAAGTTAAATCAAGTAAATTCTCAGAACAGACCACCAAAATCCAGTATTGGTTTACCCAATATGAAGACTATGTACATGCCTAATGATTCAGAAAAGCAGGACACTAAAACATTATTATTTTTTTATTTATTTATGATAGTCACACACACAGAGAGAGAGAGAGAGGCAGAAGCAGACTCCATGCACTGGGAGCCCGACGTGGGATTCGATCCTGGGTCTCCAGGATCGCGCCCTGGGCCAAAGGCAGGCGCTAAACCGCTGCGCCACCCAGGGATCCCCACTAAAACATTATTTTTACAAAATAATAACATATTTGGGTGAGTTCTGCTTATAATAATGGCAGAGTAGCTTGTATCAGACTAACATTCCTGCTGATAGCTAGTGTAAACTCTGAAAAAATATTTAAAGAAAAAGTGTTTGAAGACACTGGAGAGCAACCTAAACAGGCAACCAGAGTAGATACAATCCTTAAGAGAAGAGAAGCTAGGGTGCCTGGGTGGCTCGGGTGGTTAAGCATCTACCTCTTGATTTTTTTATTTTAGCTCAGGTCATGATCTCAGGGCTGTGAGATTGAGCCCCCGTGTCAGGCTCTGTGCTGGGTATGGAGCCTGCTTAAGATTCTCTATCCCCCGCTCCCTCTACCCCCACTTCTAAAAAAAATTAATTAAAAAAAAATAAGAGAGGTAAACTAGATGAAGCCACATTTATCTGACTTTTCCTCTTATACCTGATTAACACTGTGTGTTAACTATACTGGAATTTTTTAAAATAAATTTTAAAAATGAAAATGAAAAGAAAACTGGCTTTTCCTCTTAGGGCATTTCCAAGTTCCCGCTGCAGACAGGAAATGAGCTCAAGCAGAAAGCAAGAGTCTTATCAGGCTGACAAGTTAGAAGTCAGAGTATTATAGCTGCCACGGTGGCTGGAAATTGAGGAGGAAAAACATGGAAAAGAAGGAGCCACAAAATTGGCATACAGACTCTCCTTATATCCTTATTTGAGTCCTAAAGTGCATATATGTGGGGTGACTCCAAAGAGCCAAGAACTGAACACCAAAAGAGCAAACCAAAGATTTCAACAATTTCCCAGTAATGGGAGACAGATTAAGAGTTCAAGGTCCACCAAGTTAGAAGGGCTTGTAAAATACCTCAGGCTTTCCACTGAAAACCCAGAGGGCCACACCTTAGGAGTGATGACCATTTCCCAGGACAAAGGGCAAAACTGAACTAGGCCTACTGTAACAAAGCCTAAAACTAAGCCTCCCCAGTATGAAGGTGACCTGCCAGTAAAGTGAATGCCATACAAAACTCAATACTCTTCAAAGGAAGATACAGAATCTAGAATTCTTTATAACTACTATCTCTGACATCTTGTATACAAATAATACTAGATAGTAAAGTAGCAAAACATTACACTTACCAAAAGGAAAAAAGAAGTAGTTAGCAGAAGTAGACCCAAAGACTGCCCAGATGTTGGAATTACCAAACAAGGATTAATTATAAATATGTTAAGAAATTTACAGGAAAATATGGATATAATGGGTGAAGATATAGGGAATTTGAATTTTAGAACAGATGAAAACTAAAAATGAGCCCAATGGGAATCTTAGTACTAAAATAATAATACAATATTTGAAGTTTTTAAGATTTATTTATTTATTTATTTTAGAGACAGCACAGTGGGGAAGGGGATAAGGAGAGAGAAAAAGAGAGAGATAATTCTCAAGCAGACTCCCTGCCAAGCACAGAGCCCAATGCAGGGCTCCATCCCATGACCCTGAGATCACAACCTGATCTGAAATCAAGAGTTGGACACCCAACCAACTGAGCCACCCAGGCACCCCATAATATTTGAAATTAAAAATAATCATTGAATAAGAAAAACAGATTAGACACAGCAGAAGAAAAGATTTCATGAACTTGAAGAGAGGTCAATAGAAATTACAGAAGCACAGAAAGAAAAGACTGGAAAAATTATGATTAGAACGTCAATGCTCTGTGGGATAATACCAAGCAATTAGACTAACATGCATGTATTTGGAGTCCCAGAGGAGAAAAGAGAGAGAATATGGCAGAAAAATAATTGAAGACAATTTCCAAAATTTGATTAAAACCAAGAAGCCCAGGAAATCCCAACTAATATTTCACATACACACAAATATACTTCTTTTAGACGTCATCATAGTCAAACTGTTGAAAACCAAAGAAAGAAAATTCCTTAAAGCATCCAAGGAAAAAGACATTATATAGAGTACACAACAAAAATGATAATGGACTTCTTATCAGAAAGCACATAGGCCCTAAGATAATAAGTTATACCTTAAAATTTTTTTAAATTTTTTTTATTTAAAAATTGAGTGTCTGTGGTTGAGCTCAGTGGTTCAGCATCTGAGCTCAGTGGCTCAGTGGTTGAGCATCTGTCTGCCTTTGGCTCAGGGCATGATCCTGGGTCCTAGGATCGAGTCCTGCATCGGGCTCCCCACAGGGAACCTGCTTATCCCTCTACCTATGTCTCTGCCTCTCTCTGTGTGTCTCTCATGAATAAATAAATAAAATCTTTAAAAAAAAATTTTTAAGTAAACTCTACACTCAACGTAGGGCTTGAAATCACAACCCTGAGATCAAGAGTCACATGCTCTACCAAGTGAGCAGCCAGGTACCCCAAGAACTATCTATTTTAAAGTACTGGAAAAGGGGTGCCTAGCTGGCTCAGTGGGTAGAGCACGTGGTTTGATCTCAGGGTCAT